AAAAAAAAAATTAAAATAAATAAATAAATAAATAAATAAATAAAGAGGCAATGCATGTTCTTACCATAAATTATGGTAAATACATAAGTGTTCAGCATGACTTTTACACATAGGTGTAAGCATCCTTGTGCCTCTAGTAGGCATATCATTTTGGTCATAGCATCTTGGTCAAAGCAAGTCATAACGCCAGCCCAGATTCAAGGAACAGGAAATAAATTCCACCACCCGGTGGGAGGGGCGGCATTCAGAGGGAGGGTGGTAGCCGTTGTGGAGATAACCAGTCAAACCCTGTTAACTCTGCTTTGTCTAATAAATATATTGTGGTGGTTTGGGGTTTTTAAAAAAGTATGTATTGTGTGGAAAATCTGTACTTAATGGTCATTTTTTTTTCCGTAAACCTAATACTTCTCTAAAAAAATAGTCCATTAACTAAAAAATCATGCCTTCATTCCTCAAATTATAATGCTCATTATGAAAAATTCAGACCATCCATAAATATGGAAAACAGAAAGTGAAACTAGAGGATTTTACTAGCTCTCTGATCCCATTTTCTTCATTAACATTATCATTAGAGTCCAAAGTGCATGTTAAACATACTTCCTGTATTTTCTGTGTATATGCAGGTATACAAATACATAATTTCTAAAACCAAAAATGCCAACGCATTCTACCTGACACACCACAGCATACATTTTTTTTATCCTCTAAGTCTGCCTTCTTTTTCTTTCATGAGCACAGATTTCTTGGAAGACCATAAATGGAACACTTTGCATACTGTCTGTGCATTTCCTTGACAAAGTCAAGATTAAAGCCTAATTTTTCAATTTATAAAAGTTTATGTTCATTCTAAGAAAATGCCCAGAATTTATAAAAATTGGAATCATAGTATACATATGGTTTTAATCCAGTTTTCTACTTAATATATTTTGAACATTTTCTTATAATACCAAATAATCTTCAGAAATACGATGTAAATACTATTTTCTCTGATTATAAAAGTATCATATACTCGTCCTAAAAAACAGAAAATGAAGAAAACTGTGAAGAAAATATAAAAACCACCCAGAGGGGCACCTGGGTGGCTCAGTCGATTAAGTGTCCAACTTCGGCCCAGATCATGATCTCACGGTTCGTGGGTTCAAGCCCCTCTGTCAGCACAGAGCCTGGAGCCTGTTTCGGATTCTGTGTCTCCCTCTCTCTCTGCTCGCACTCTGTCTCTCTCTGTCTCTCTCAAAAATAAATAAACATTAAAAAAATTTAAAAACCACCCATAATCAGCTGGTATATTTTCTTCCAGTCTTTTTGCTATGTGTATATAAAATCTTTTTTTAAATTCAACATTATATTGTGAATTCCATGTTATTAAATGGTCTTTAAAAACAAGGATTTCCCCCGCCTCGGTGTTAGGAATATAGAATTGACATACATCATTGTATAACAAAGCAAGGATTTATAATGGCTGTATTTTCCATTAAAGCCATTTAGGTTATTTATAATTTTGTTTTACCTTTTAGATAATGTATGATGTACGTCCTGGGGCATAAATACTTGCATGCACCTCTGATTATTTCATTAGGTTACATTCATAGCAGTGGAATAATTTAGTCAAAGAATAAGAACGTATTGAAGGCTCCTGATGGATATTGCCAAATTGTTTTTCAGAAAGGTTGTCCTTATTTTTCTGTATACTTACCAGCTTTAGGTCTTACCTAAAAGATAGCTATCTCTATCTCTATCTCTAGAGATATCTGTATCTATCTAGAGATAGAGATAGAGATAGAGATAGAGATAGAGATAGAGATAGAGATAGATATCATCCTGAATTCCATTATTTTCCTCTAAACTTAAAGCTTACGCATTTTCTCATACCTTAAAATTTCTCCATAAATGTAGTGGTAAGTGCTTGTAGCATTCAATTATGTGCCGATCTGCTTTCTTTCTACTTCATCCTTCACTTTTCCTCTGGAGTCAAGATTGAGATGGGCTCTTCCAGTATTAATCTGTTGTCCTTACCTGATGCTGTTCAATTCCCCAGTTTAAAAACCCACTCAAAATGTATCCTCTCCTCTGGGATTTTGAGAAAATGTTCTCAAACTCCAGCTTCAGACAAATAAAGTTAGCAAAGAACATACACATTTCTTGGAAGATGTTCTATATAGGTCGCGGTGCTTAGCCTGCAGCTGGTGGGTTTGGTGTGCTGAGAACCTGGCTTTTAGATGCGTTTTGTTTAGCTGCACAGTGCTTTAAAATTTTTAAGCCAATAGCGAAGAATTGGGAGATTTTTACATAATAAACTTGCATTTCTGGCTTCTCTTAAAAAAATCTGTAGACTTGGCGTAGACATGCTCACGTGGCAGGAGCCAGCTGGACCCGAGCCGCAGGCGTTCCGTGTGAGTGGGCGGGCTCTCTCCTTTCCGTGTCGCTGCCGCTGTTTAGCGTCACTATTATTTTTATCATTATTACGTTTACATCTAGCCCGCGTGGCTCATTTATATGGTTGCTCCCTGGTCCCGTAGACGCTTGAGTTCATGCCAGGCCCAGGGCCTGATTTTTCACAGTAATGTCGCTGGCCCTAAGAATCAGAGCAACGCAGTGACTTGTTTGGGCACATACAGCCAGCGAATAGCGGACATAGGACTCAGACCTAGTGAGTCCACTTTCAAAGTCCACCCTTGTTCTTCCCGCTGTGGTCAAACTACCACTGGGGAAAGGCTACAAAGTGCCATTGTGTCAGCAATGGAAAGCACTCATTCTTACGGTCTCTTGTGACTCACAATGAAAAATCTTGGCTTTGCTATTCAAGCAGATTGTGTTGACATCTTGAACATATATGTGTGTGTGTGTGTGTGTGTGTGCGTATCTCCCTGTTTCGACTTTTACAAGGTAATTGTGTGAATTCTCTGCCAGATTTTGGTTCCCACAGATAACGAAGTCAGTTCAGCATTGCCAACGCTCCCCCCTCGACCACTCTGAAAGATAATCTGCAGAGACGAAAAGATGCTTGGGGTTCGTAAGATTGAATGCTAGCAAAGAAGCTGTTAAGAAAAACCCTGAATAACCCAAGGAGCAAGGATTGTGAGCTGTAATTTCAAATATTGGAAGACTGTTCTCGTGGCGGGAAGTGAGGAGCAGAGAGGGGTGTATACCTGTGCATTTGTGTGTATGTGTGTGTGTTAATGTACGTATATATGTGGTAGGCATTACGACTCTACTAAAGCTGTTCTGCACAGACTTACTGAACATCAAGGGGGAATTTCACAGATGCCATTCCCACATTTGATCCTACAACAGCCTTGTAGATCATGCAAAGTAGATATTGGTTCTGTTTCTCAGGTGAGGAAACCGAGGGGCTTTCTAAGGGCTCATTCCACCTCGCTGGCAGTGAGGACAGTCCTCTGCATTCTGTTCCTGACTGTGCTGATAGACTCTTGACCAGGGACAAGGCAGTCTTTTGGGGCTCAGATTCCACCCCCCCTCTTATCTGTAGAATGAAAGGGTCAGCCTGGATACTTCATGTTTTTCCCATTTCTAAAAGTCTCTGATTCTAAGATTTTATTAAAAAAAATTTTTTTTTAGTAACATTTATCCATTTTACAGAGAGCTTGAACAGGAGGAGGGCAGGGAGAAAGGGAGGCACAGAATCCAAAGCAGGCTCCAGGCTCTGAGCTATCAGCACAGAGCCCAACACAGGGCCCAAACCCACAAGCGCAAGACTGTGACATGAGCCGAAGTTGGACACTCAACAGACTGAGCCCCCTGGGTGCTCCTCTGTTTCTAAGATTTTATTTTATTTATTAAAAAAATTTTTTTAATATTTATTTTTGAGAGAGACAGAGTGTGAGCGGGGAAGAGGCAGAGAGAAAGGGAGACAGAATCCAGGCCCCAGGCTCTGAGCTGTCAGCACAGAGCCCGACACGGGGCTTGAACCCACAAACAGTGAGATCATGACCTGAGCCCAAGTCAGACGCTTAACCGACTGAGCCACCCAAGTGCCCCTGTTTCTCAGATTTTAAAGGCATGAACTTAGTTTTCTAAGCCTGAAAACTTTTTAAGGACAGGGTTGATGTATTATTTATCCTAGTGCCTAGAATATATTGAGGAATGAATGAAAATCTGGCTTACCTCAGAACTAAAACAAAACCAAGGGTGTTTATGGAAAGAATTTCTAAACAAAGTTAAAGGGTGAAGGTTAAGCCAGAAAAAAATATTATTTAAAATATACTATTATAAGAAGTAAGCATAAAGTACTCAAAAAGTGAATAAGAAAAGGGTGAACATCCCAACTGAGAAGTGGGGAAAGGTCACGAACTAAATATTTACAAAAGAAAAATACAAATGAGCAATAAACACTAAAATGACGTTCAAACTTATAATAAGCATAATAAAAATGGGAATGATGTATCATTTTCTCCCAATCATGCTGGGAAAGACTTGAAAGATGAGGATTGGCTGGGGAGAAGGTCATCTTCTACGTGGTCATGGGTGTCTAGGCTGGTCTCACCCACAGGGTGTCATGTCTGTTTCTGAGATTAAATCTAAGGAAAGAGTTGTATAAGGACACAAAGATGTAAGTAAAGGTATTTATTTAATCATTGTCTTTTTTTTTTTTTTTTAATTTTTTTTTTTCAACGTTTATTTATTTGTGGGACAGAGAGAAACAGAGCATGAACGGGGGAGGGGCAGAGAGAGAGGGAGACACAGAATCGGAAACAGGCTCCAGGCTCTGAGCCATCAGCCCAGAGCTCGACGCGGGGCTCGAACTCCCGGACCGCGAGATCGTGACCTGGCTGAAGTCGGACGCTTAACCGACTGCGCCACCCAGGCGCCCCTATTTAATCATTGTCATATCGTGGAAAATAGGTGACGAAAATTATCTTCAGTGGGGGTAGTGGATAAAGCCATAACATGGTGTAAAATATTTAGTCATTTTAGGGGTGCCTGGGTGGCTCAATTTGGTTGAGCCTTTGACTTGAACTCAGGTCATGATCTCACAGTTTGTGAGGTTGAGCCCCACAACCGGGCTCTCCGCTGTCATCTCAGAGCCTGCTTTGGATCCTCGGTCCCCTCCCTCTCTGCACCTCTCCTGTTCGCTGTCTCAAAAATAAATATTAAAAAAAAAAAAAAAGAAGAATATTTTGTCATTTTAGATAATGATGTTGATCCATATTCACAGAAATGGAAAGGGGTCCATGATACATAGAGTGGAGGGGAAATAAAATGTATACAGAGTATGATCAATTATGGAGTAAACATTGTATAAAAATAATTTGGATGTGTACCAACTTACTAGCTGATTGTGGCTAGGTGCTGACATGGCAGTTGATTTCTGTTTCCTCCTTTGCTTTCATTTTTTGAGTTTCATTTTTGTGATGTACATATACTGCTTTTATAATAGGAAAAGTAACAAAGGTATTTCCATTTTTTAAATATGTTTACTCCTATCAGTAGTCCTTGCATATTTTAAGCACTTTATAAGAGAAGACCTCATGGGACAGTTGTGGTTTTGGTAAGATTGGGTCACATCACTTAGAAAAATACTTAGAATTTCCATTTAGTGCGATCGTAGGTTGATAAATAGAACTGTTAACTTCTGGTGTGTGTGTGTGTGTGTGTGTGTGTGTGTGTGTGTGTGTGTGTGTGTATTGTGGGGGTCGTGTGGGAATTGCAGGGACACATGCTTTTCTGCCTGGGACACGTGTAGTTTGCCTCGTAGTCCTGGGGAAAAGTAGGAGAAGTTGAGGAAACCTTACAGGCAGGGGGGCTGAGTGGTGCAGGAATGAACTGCGTACTGGATATGGTGGTCGGCTGGGCAATGGGACGCAAGAGAAGACAGCCTAACACCTTAACCCTAAAAACTCTACTGTGCCTCTCCTGGGAATAAGAACATAATGAGGACACCGGTATCACACCTGGTGTGATAAATCAATTAATTTTGATTTAATGATAACATATGACAGATAGTCTAAGTATAAATGTTTCCAATTGTCCTAAAAATGTCTTTCAAAGCTATTTCCCTCCTAATTCCAGATCCAGCCAAGAGGCATTTGGTTGCTTTATCTCTTTGTGTTCTCTGAATCTAGATGGTAGAACAATCTCCCTGCCTTTTGTTCTGTTTGCTTTTTCATGACTTATTGAAGCATTCAGGCCGGTTGTAGAATGCTTGTAGAATTCTTGTACAGTGCTCCACATTCTGGATTTGCCTGATTTGTTTCTTCCTGATTAAATTCGGGTTAAATGGTTTTGGCCAGAATGCTGCACAGGTGATGTGTTCATCACGTCAGGAGGTTATCACGTCTGGTTGCCCCACTGTTGGGGATACTCGTTAGTTTTTGATGAAGGGGGAACTTTATCTCACAGAAAAAAAGTCAAGGGCGTAAACTTTCCACGTATTGTATCTTTACATCTTTCATGAACATGAAGGAAAAGTTTATTAACAAGAAGTACACAAAAGAAAGTATCAAGTGTTTCATTATCTACTGAGAGTTTCAAATCCTTCCTTTTTCTTTCTTTTAATGGAGAAAACATATATATTTGGTAAGCCACCAGCCTTTATCCCTGCGTGTATAGAAGCAGGGTGGGAATGAGATATCGTATTTTATTAGTTGTAGCTAGTGTTGGATGCATAGCATAGGTGAATATATAAGGCGATTTTCTGTTTGCGCCATTGCAAGGCCCAAAGTGTGACTTGCCCAGATATTAGCTGCCCTTGTCACTCTTCATTGTTGTGATAATAAGTTTTTAAAACCTGAGGTTTTATTTTTTTTCCTGAGATTTGGGGCATATTATCTTAGAACAATTGGACGTATTATCTTAGGACAATGTTTTTGGAAGCACAGTGATTTGAATGCATTCTTTGCTTTTTTAAAGAAGTTTTCCTTCCCTAACCTAAACCTTCAGCTGGACTAACAGAAAATGTAGAATTTGGGGCCGGGGGTGGGTGATAAGACTCTAACAGCCCTTCTTTCCTCTTGGTGGACCCAGGAGGGAGCTTATGAGGTCTTGCTGAGGCAAGATTAACTTGTCTGAACCAGGAGTCTTTGTGCAGATTGTAAGGGCACCTGGTAACGTGGAGATGTTGATTCTCTTTTTCAGGGCATCTTTTATGACCAAAACTGTGCCTTGTGGAAATGAGCTTCATAAGTTCCTCATCTGGGACACTGCTGGGCAGGAACGGGTAAGTGTACGTGGTTGTTGGCTTTCTAGGGAAAATACTGAGCCTGGTTCCTGAAGGTTTATTTGTATTTGGCAAGATTCTTGGTTGCAAGCGACCAGGAACTCAGCTTCTGTGATTTAATCAAAAAAGGAAATGTGCTTTTCCACTGTGAAAAAGATGTATGGGGGTGGCTCTCTTGAGGTAGGGCTGAGTTCAAGTCCTCCAAATGTATTGTCGGAGGCACCCAACTCCATTCATATTTCTTTGCTTGCTTACCTCTAGACTGGCTTCATTTTGAGGCAGACTCACCTCCTTCCCTTCCCCAAGGGTGGCCAGGATGGCTCCATCGGTGACTCCACGCCTGTATTCTGCCACCTGAGCAGTCCCACAAAGGACAGTACCTCTTTTCCACGAGTTGCGCCCCATGTTTCAGTGCCTGTGGGTTCTCACGGGCCGGGTTTGGGTCACGTGTTCCACTCTTGAACTTGACGCTGTGTAGCAGCATTTAAGGGATATTTGGCGCTCCTATTTGTAGAGCCAGGTAATACACTTACCCCTAGAGGTAGGGCTGCCATCAGCCGCACCTGAGCCACACTGGTTGGAAGTCTAGTAGGCTTAGTTACCCAAGGAAAATCTGGGTTCCTTTACTGCACAACGGGCCAATGGACATCGGTTTACTAGAAACAGCCAATGACTTGTTTCTTATTCTTTTTTTTAAATATGAGATTTATTGTCAAATTGGTTTCCATACAACACCCAGTGCTCATCCCAACAGGTGCCCTCCTCAATGCCCATCACCCCCTTTCCCCTCCCCCCTACCCCCCATCAACCCTCAGTTTATTCTCAGTTTTTAGGAGTCTCTTATGGTTTGCCTCCTTCCCTCTCTGTAACTTTTTCCCCCCTTCCCCTCCCCCATGGTCTTCTGTTAAGTTTCTCAGAATCCACCTAAGAGTGAAAACATATGGTATCTGTCTTTCTCTGTATGACTTATTTCACTTAGCATCACACTCTCCAGTTCCATCCACGTTGCTGCAAATGGCCAGATTTCTTTTCTCATTGCCAAGTAGTATTCCATTGTATATATAAAGCACAGTTTCTTTATCCATTTGTCAGTTGATGGACATTTAGGCTCTTTCCATAATTTGGCGATTGTTGAAAGTGCTGCTATAAACATAGGGGTACAAGTGCCCCTCTGCATCAGCACTCCTGTGTGTCTTGGGTAAATTCCTAGCAGTGCTATTGCTCTCTTGTTCTTAATTCCTTTTATGTGCTGAACATATTTATGGGGAAGATTGTTTAAAAAGCTTATGTTTTTAGATTTTAATGTTTATTTTTGAGAGAGAGAGAGAGAGAGAGAGAGAGAGAGAGAGAGAGAATGAGTAGGGTCGGGGGGGCAGAGAGAGAGAGACACGCACACACACAGAATCTGAAGCAGGCTCCAGGCTCTGAGCTGTTCACACAGAGCCCGATTTGGGCTCATGAACCTCGAGATCAAGACCTGAGCCCAAGTCAGACACTTAACCTGCTGAGCCACCTAGGTGCCCCTTGTGTTTTTAGATTTTAAAAAGTGAGGTAATACCAGCACAGACTGTCTATAATAGGATATTCATATAATAACTAGGGTGTATATTATCAAAGTCAAAAAGGGTGGTCAGGGTAAGTGACACACAGGGATTACCAATAACCTGCCTTCACTGGGAGCTTTCAGGCTGCTCAAAACTTTCATCGGAGCTAACGATCACGGAGTAAAATAGTAAAATGGTCCAAGCTCACTTGTCACCTTCTCTACCTACCCTGTTTAAATAATATCACTTCCCCCCTTTCCCTCCCTGCTCCACTCCATTTTTCTCCACAGCCCTTACCACCTGCTAATATGCTATTTAATTCACTTACTGATTCTGTTGATTGTCTCTCTCTCAAAGGAAGAGAATCCGGGGTTCGGGATAATGCAGCATTTTCATTATCTGCTCCTAACAAATCAAGTGTGCGTTTCTATAATTTTCACTTCCTATAAATCCCCGTCCCAGCATTTGTCGATTAAGGCTACTCCGGTGTTCAAGATTTCTTTCTTCTTAATTAGGACGAATCTTGTGGCCTACAAATGCTAACCTCATTAGAACATCTTCTATTTTGCTGCTAAATTGAGAGCACCAACTTGCACACACGAAGCTGCTGCCACGAGCACCTCTTTAACTCTGTGGGTCAGCTGTGCATGCTGCCTCCCGAAATGAGGTGACGAATCCGAGGAAGAAATGTCTGCTCAGGGATCTCTTCTTTACGTATCTTCCTCTTTACATACTATGTATGCATACTTGTAGTACGTAGATCTGCTAGGTTTTTGGTTGGGGGGGGGAGGGGTTTGGTTTTTTGGTTATTTAAACTGAAGCAGAGGCTTTCTTGCTCCCATTTGTACTTTTGGCCATGGAATGGTTGCTTTTAATGTGCATAATAACTCACTTTTACAAATAGCTGGCTTCGTATTAGAAGTATTACTGTTTCTACAATTGGTGGGTCATTCCTAAGGGCTTGCTATGTTTCATGCCCTGTTCCGAATGTTTTCCGTGTACTAATAACGCACTTAGCCCTCTCACGGCACTCTGACGTGGGGACTACTTTCATCCCTATTTATAGGTGAAGTCACTGAGGGGCGGAGAAGTTAAGTAACTCGTTCAAGATCACACAGCCAATTAGGCGTAAAGCCGAAATAGGAATCCGGCAGTCTGGGTCCCGAGCTTTGTAGTTCTGTTCCGCTAGAAAAATCACCCAAAAGCCATGCGGCTGAAAGTGAAGTTGGCCAGAATCCCACCACCCAGATATTTGCACCGTTTTTTTAATTTATTTTTTTAGTTGAGGTATACTTGACGTACAATATTCTGTTCATTTCAGGTGTACATCGTAGCGATTTGATATTTGTATACATTATGAAATGATCCCTACAAGAAGTCTAATTTCCACTATTGACATTAGATGATCATTCTTCAGATATCTCACTATATGTGTTATAACTTCATATTAAAGGGGTCATGGTTCTTTATAACCTGCTGTTTTCTCTTGATAACAATGGTATTCCTGAAGAGAGATTTCTGTATGATCTAAACAGAGTATTTGACATTTCCTTACCTATTCTTTTTTTTTTAATTTTTTAATGTTTATTTACTTTTTGAGACACACACACACACACACACACACACACACACACACACACAAGAGTGTGAGTGGAGGAGGGGCAGAGAGAGAGAGGGAGACACAGAATCCAAAGCAGGCTCCAGGCTCTGAGCTGTCAGCACAGAGCCTGACGTGGGGCTCGAACCCACAAGCTGTGAGATCATGACCTGAACCAAAGTCAGATGCGTAACTGACTGAGCCACCCAGGCGCCCCTCCTTACCTATTCTAATATAATATTCAAGTGTTTGACTGCTTTTGATGAAATCTGATACTCGAAAGTGACGACTGTAGTTTGTAGCTTGACTCACTGACCATCTCAAAGCAAAATAGCAATAGAAAATTTTTCGTATGACCATATTTCTAATTATTCTAATTGCTTTTCCTAAAATTTGTTAGAGGTTATAGGCATCTGTGACTATATTGCTATGTCTGTAATTTTAAAAGCATAGTATTGTATAGATTATTATATTATACATGTTACATATTATATGTAGTATTATTGTGTTAGTGCTATATGTATTCGGAGTATTATCTATTATTATAACGGTTAGTATTATAGGTGCAAGGTTTGATTCCATAGTAGTGCTTCAGGGAAGAGGGACTGAGTTTTGGATGATAACTTCAGGTGGATGCTTTTTAGAATCTAGATTTGTGGAGAGTGGGTGAAAAATGTCTGTTCAGCCTTTGTGGTCATCGATTCCTCTAACCCTCAAAGGCCTGATTTAGTTATCCTCAGACTGTCCTTGTCTGGTGTCCCTCCGTGCAGTCTCGCATCTCTCCAGTGATGGCAATTTTTCAATCATTTTGGCAGCTTGTTGCTGGATTTAATCGTGCTTGCAATGACGTTACCTAATGTTGGAGCTAAAAATACATTCCCTGCTGCTGCTTGTGCCTAATGCTATTTGTTCTGTCTCATTAATTGTTGGAGTCCAGTGCACTTTATTATCCCTCCTTATCTGTGTAGAAATCTGCTGCTGTTCTACTAAGTCTGTGTAATTTTAAACAAACAAAATCTCTTTGGATTTATGGTTTCATAATATAAAGACATAGACTTCTGTGTCCTCAAAGGGGGATAATGCTCAGGGCAGTACTTTGCATCAGTATGTGTTTACTTGTGGGACGATTCAACCAAGTTCTGCCTCGCATACACAATATTAACTCTGGACTATATTTTGGCACAAATTCATACTCTTGAAAAATTACTTTTCCGTCAGAGCACTGGAAATGTAAAAGGATCACTCTCCTCCTCCCTCTCTTCGTAGAAGGGAGTGTTCATTCCTGATAATGCTTTTCATTCAACCATATATGACGGCCATCTTAGGATTCTTTCAATGGCAAATGCTAATCCATAGACTGCCTCTGTAAGAAAGTGTTTGAAAATTTAATCATTTTCAATTAACCAGATGATTGCTGAGTCCAATTTGTTAGAAACGTAACGTTTGGAAGATTTGTGCTTCCAGTTTGTTGCAACCAAGAGGGGTGTCCAGGGGGCGAGAGTGCCACTGCCGTGCCCGTGTTGTAGTATCAGTGCGGGCTTTTGGGGGTTTTCATCCTTTCTTCCTGAATGAGTGGTTCTGGCTTCTGCTTTGTGCCAAGCTGTGACAAGGACTCAACAGTAGGTTAGCAGATGCCTCTGGAAAGATGTACACAGGAGCGGAAGTGGTCCCAGGGGGGAGAAAGGAATTTATCTGCCCAGCTTCGTCCTCCTATCTCCCACTAGTCCGGGTTTGGGATTCTGTCCCAATGTGGCAGCACATCCATCTTTCCCGTTGGGTTTCCTTTTGACTCCCTTCTTTGTTTTTCCACATAAACTAGAATATCCTCATTGTTATTAAAAATGCCTCATCGGGGCGCC